CGGTTGTTTCGAGAAGCAGGTTTCCCCACCCCCGCCCATTTAAGATCGTGTACACTCAACCCCAAAAAACCCCCAGCCCAGCAGGGGGGGGGGGGGAATTCTGGGAATTGAAGTCCACACGTCTTAAAGTGGCCGAGGTTGAGAAACCCTGCTCTAGACCAAACTGGCTCTTCATTTTGTACCCTGGGATATTCAGGTGGTTTCCTATCCAAATACTTAATCAGATCTGACCCACTTTTAAGCTCAGCCAAGGTGGCCACTTGATTCAGCTGGAAATCAGTGGTGGCAACGTCCTTCTCCTGATTGCGAGGATTCAGTTTTCATCCATTGGGGCCCCCCAAGAGCCGCTGCAGACATCCCAGAGCATCTGCATAACTCCTCTGCCTTTCCCTCCCTCCCCCCGTCTCACCCCAATTTACATCCTACATCACTGTAGCCACTCCATTGCATCTGATGAAGTGAGCCGTAGCTCACAAAAGCTGATGCTTTTTAATAAAATGGGCTAGCTGGAAGAGATGCTCCCCGACGCCTTCTGATTTTTGCCACCATAGACTAACAGACCTCTCCTCCTACAATGAATTGTGCTCTATTCCCTAATTCAGAGCTCCAAAAACATGTACTAAAACGGATATAGCAAGGGGAACCCTGCTCAGAAAAGTGCCTTGGTGCAAGTCCACATTTTACGTTACATGATGAAACCACGTGCTCTCCCGGGTGGAATTACTGGGCTGCAAAGCTTCGGATGGCCAGAAGGTGGCAGCAAACAACTGGGGTTTTCGATGTCCCTTTGCTGCCATCTAGTGCTCTGCTCCTCGATTTGGCCATTTCTGTACATTTCTGCACACAAATGCTGATATAAGGGACACTGGGGTGCTGCTTGCTCTGAGTGACTTAAAAGTCCCAGAAGCAGGATGGAAATGGAAGGAGGAGGAAGGAAACCAGTCGGGGAAAAGAGAGGCAGGTGGGAGCAGCTTGAAGGAAGAGGGAGTGGGTGCGGCTGCTGGTAAGTATGAAACGAAGGAAGGGCTGGCAGAAGAGGAGTGATGGTAAACCAGCAGGGAAACATCTCCAGATGGGAGGATTCAGACTCAAGGCCCGTGCCTGAATTTTCTTGCCATCGCGAGCAGTATCCTCCATCCACTGGGCATCCTCCATCCGTTGGTTCAGGTCCTCCAAGTGCACGGGGCCCTCCAACACCCACAGCTGGCCCTCCTTCCCCTCTGCCCCCCCAACCTTCTCCCTGGGGCACCCCTTCCCAGAGTCGCTTCTCTTTGCAGGCCGAGTCTTCAACGGTTCGGCGAAGCCGATTGACAGAGGCCCCGTTGTGATGGCCGAGGACTTCTTGGACATTAATGGTGAGGCCCTCCCGGCAGAGGCCCCTGGGCGGAGTTGTGCGGGTGGCAGGGGGAGGATGGCACAGGGCACGCGGGGGCTGTGAATCTTGGCAGGCAGCGCATCGTGGGGAAAAGCCTATGGCGGAGTGGGGGAGTTGACCAACAGCTGAGCATGTTTCAGACATTAAAGTGAAAGGAGAGGAGGGCGCCGTCGGGAAGCGTGTCCAACAGCCGCAAGTTAAAGGCTGCTGTTCTGTTTTGCAACACAACGTTGGAGAAGGTGGAGTAAGGGACTTTACCCTAAAAAGAAAGACTTGTTGGTCCTGATTTAAAAAAACTTGAACATCCTGCTTTGGGTCCTTGGATTGGGCAAAAGCTTTCGAGAAGAACGTGACCCAAAGGTAGGGTCGGGGTGGGCCAGAGGACAGCCCTTTGAAAGACCAAATTGGGTTTCAGTCCTCCAGAAGCCAAGCCCTCCCACTGCCACCGGGGTAATTGTAAGCGCGCCAGGCGCTGTTCCGCTGCCCTGCCCAAAGTCTGGGCAGGTGTTTTGAGAGAGAGCGACGTCTTCCGCCTCCTCCTCTGTGCACACTGTAAAAGGGCTTGATTTCTTTGCCCTTCCCTTCAATGGGGGGCATGGCAGGAGGAGGGGGCTTTGAGCCAGTGCTGAGGACAGTTCCTGAGCTTCTCTGGGACCGATCCTGGCAGCGGCTCAGGCTTTGCACTCAAGCTGGGTTTGGACTGTGCCAGCTCAGGAAACGCCCCTGCACTGGGGGTGTCTGCAGGGTGTGGTAAAAGAGGTCAAGGTGGCAGCCAGAACGGTGCGATCCAAGCTCTGCCTGGTGTCTACGGTGTGCCACGATGCACATAAAAACACTGATTGCACCATCTCGGCTGCCATCTTGACTTTCTGACCGCACCCGGCAGTGCCCCTGGCCTGCATGGAGGGCCGTCCCCTCCTTCAGAGGAACACTCCCCCCCCCAAGAAGTGGTAGGGCTAGGAGCCGGGCTTCCCTGGCAAGAAGGACCCCCAGTCCCTCAGCTCTCCTGGGCATAATGAGTTTACGTTATTTCTTCTCCAGCAGCAGCAGACCTTCCACGCATTGGCACAGTAATGAGGGTTGTAATCCAACACATCTGGAGGGCACCAGTCTGGGGGAGCTGGCACGGAGGAGGGTCTGAAATGGACAATGCCCTTCCTTTTCTTTGCACTTCTGACTCCCCAGGTGGGGTTTAGGTCCATTCTCCTTCCTTTCCCACAACCACCTACCTCAACTGATTGCATGGTCCTCCCTCCCTCCCTCCCTCCCTCCCTTGCAGGGCAGCCCATCAATCCTCAAGGACGCATCTACCCGGAAGAGATGATCCAGACGGGGCTTTCCCCCATCGATGTCATGAACAGCATTGCCAGAGGACAAAAGATTCCGATCTTCTCAGCGGCTGGTCTCCCCCACAATGAGGTATGCCCCTCACAAGCCCCGTCAGGTTTTGCTCCATCTGTTTGGAGCAGGAGAACTCTTGTCACAGACTTCTGCATTCTTTTTGAATGCAAAAGTCACACACCAGAGTGGAGACCCCTGGAAAAGTGGAGGTGCAGAAGAAATGGAACCCGCACGTGGAAGCTGCCCCACAGGGACATCTGCCAGGGCTTGGGAGCTCTGCTGCTCCTCCAGAGTCACTATTTCCTTGCCTTATGGTCCAAAATCAGCAGCCGTCTGAGGAGTTTCTTTCTCAGAAGACAGGAGTTGGGCCATCTGAACATCACAGTCTGCTAGTGAAATCCAGGGAAAGAAGGAAAAGCCCTCTTCAGTTTCAGGAAGCTCCTCCAGGACTGTAAAATAGACTGGGAAATTCTAAAAAAATCCCCAAAGAAGGCTATGGCAAACTCTCACTAAATTGCCACCAAGAAACCTACAATAGAAGCATCCATGAAGTCACCAGAGTTCACCGCAGCGGGCACAGGAAGGGGCCTGTTGCAGAGACAGGAGTTGAATGGCCCCAAGTCTTCTGAATGCACGTTAAACGTAGTAAAGTTGTCAAAGCTGATGAGACCAGAAGCGGAGGCCGGGCCTGAAACCTCAGTTGAGCTGAATGCTGGGCCGGATAGCCTGGATCGCTAGATCATTCCTGCCCTTTGATGAACCTGAAATATCAAGTAGATTCACCCAGGAGGCATCTGGGGACAGGATCAGGGTGCATGACACGGAAGGTTTCCGAAGATGTTCACATGGACCACGAGTTGTTGATCCCAAACAGGAATAGCATGATGGATATGCATATATTTGAGATGATAATGATGATAGAGAGATAGATAGAGATAGAGATAGAGATAGAGATAGAGATAGAGATAGAGATAGAGATAGAGATAGAGATAGAGATAGATAGATCTTCCAAAGTAGCCATGTAAGTGATTACTTTTCCTGATCTATATTTGTATACCTTTTAACACTTGTGGAAACCAGCATTGTACACCTGTAGAAAAGGGGAGGAGGGTTTGGTTTCAGAGCATATGAACTGGCATCTCTGCTGGGACATTTTGGAGTCTCTCAATTCTACCAAATTCACAATCTGCATGGCCTTTACATATTCATGTATGGTAATAAATGCAAATATTAAAAACCCTCCTTTCTTCTCTCCCATTCTCCAGAGCTGCTCAGAGTTGTCAGCAACTGGAGTGGCCTATAAGCCAGACCAGTCAATCAGTCAGTCAACCCATCCTTGCTTACCACTGAGGAGGGAGGAAAAATGGACTCGGGGATTCTGTTTTTCCAGGAGACTGTAGACTGCTATGAAACTTTTGGGTAGCCACAAATGACAGCAAAGACATTCCAAAAAACAACCTTGTGGTGCCATCTAGTGGTTGCTGGACTTTTGCAGCCCAGATCAAGTACCTTAGGACAGTGGTCTCCAACATGGGGTGCACAAGACAATCTTTTGGGTTGCAGGAAGAAAATGTCAATGTATATTTACCTATTTTATCTTCCTCTTAAAATTTCTTTTGGGGGCTATGTATAATAATGTACATGATATATTAGTATGGTAGTACACGAATGTAACTGATCAATTATTCATGCCTATATGGAGTTGGATACTCATTTTTTTTTTTTAACTGATAAAGGTGGGCAATCAGAAACTCTCACAGACCCCTGGACTAGAATTTCCTGATAACACAGACTAGAATAGATCCCTGCCAATTTCCTGACAACACAGAGCTGCAGTGAACTAAACCTGGCTTAGAGAGATCCCTCCTTGACTGTCTGATTCCTGCTGTTTCCATCTCCCACAGCTTCCCACCGTCTTTCTTTTCTCTCCATCTCAGATCGCAGCTCAGATCTGCAGGCAGGCTGGGCTGGTGAAGAAATCAAAAGACGTAGTGGATTACCACGAGGATAACTTCGCCATAGTCTTCGCTGCCATGGGGGTAAGTCTTCTGCTCTACAGCTACCATGTGGGTGGATGTAGACCTCTCTCTCCCAATCTTTCTAAAGGAACTCTGGAAACAGATGCTTGTTTCTGGGTGCTGCCCCACACCCTTGGCATCAATGCCAGAAACAGTGGGACTGCCCATATTTCTATACTAAAAGATCTTCAGCTCAAGTTCTTCTGCTGGGCTGATGTTCCTTCAAGGTATGCGCCCCACGTCCCTAGTCTAACATTACAGCCTGTTCCCAAGAATGGCCAGCAGTGGGGCCACCAGAGCATCCTGTTGGCCTCCTCCCTTGTTTGATGATCTTCCTCCTCCTCACTCTGGTCAAGTCTCCACTCAACCTCTCCTCCTTTCTCCACCTTTTGTCTCTTACTGTGAAGCCATTTACTCCCTTGAGAAAGACGTTGTCATTTTTAACACCACACAGTTTTCTCAGATGTCTGTTCTATTCAGTTATGAGCACCTGATTAGAAGCTAAAAATATCAGTCACAAAGAAGCAGTACATACAGACCACCTCCGTTCCCCGGGAGTTTTGCTACAGTTGACCGAGTGACTCAGACCATCTTTCTGCAGAAAGTTCTGCTGTAATGACTTAAAGTATCTTCATAGCGTCACCCAGCCATTGTTGGGTGGAATGACTTCCATTGAGAGGAAGTCTGTCCAGATTAATGTTATTTTGGCACAACGATGGCTGGATGACTCTTGTAGACGTTATAATCACAAATGCAGAAACGACCTCAGTCTTGGAAGCTGTTGCTACAGCCTCTGCCCCAATCCATTGCTCTCCACTGTAGATATAGTTTGAGGATAGGCAACCGCTACCATGCAGATGTTTGAGGCTTCCATTCCCAGCGACCTGCAGCCACACTAGTAAATGGCAGATCGTGGGAGATGTATTCCAAAACATCTGGAGACTACCAGGTAAATCACCCCTATGCTAGTTTAATTTTTTTCCAGCTTGGAGTTTCCCAAATTTTCAGAGCAGTGCAGCTGGAGGAGACTGAAACATGGAGGGTGCAGTAATGAGAGGATCCTGCCAGAACAGTTCTCCATCTACTGGCTATTTGCACAATACCGAATCCATCCCATAGCAAACTTACTATAGGTTCTTCGTGCCTTGGTCTTTTCCCAAGCAAAGGGAAAAGGGCAGATTTGCCTTGAAATCTGCCATATTACCATATTGTTGTAATACTGGGAACTTCAGCTCCACTTCTGCAGCCTGCAAGGTTGTCTGTTTACCATTGGAGGGGTTTCTCAGCGCGCGCGCGCACAGACCCATGGGCTTCCAGGGAGGGGGCAAGGAACCAAGTGGTGCCACAGATGTCACAACATCATCGTCCAGAGGTGCTGGACCCTTATGACACGTCTCTTTATGCTTATGTGTTTCACTTCTACAGTCTTTTTCCTGCCTAGTTAAGGGGTTTCCAGTTGTCTGATGTTTGTGTAGTTCGTTCCCAGCTGATCAACCCTCCGAAAAGCCTTCGTCACGCAGCCTTAGGTGTGGGGGGACTTCGACCTCTGTGTGGCGAGGGTTGGGTCTAGTAGCCTGGCTTTGCAGAAGATTGTTCCAAGTGCTGTAAAAAGTTGAAGGACAACACTCGTTGTAGAAAATAATGCAGTACCAAGAGATCTGGTCTGGGAGGTGTGACTTGTTCTGGCACTTATTCGAACTGATGAAGATTTCTCATAAGCAAGTGCCCAGTTCCATGCCAGTCTCCTTTGGCCATCTGTTAAGTAGAGGGGGGCAGTCAAGAGGTTGAGGAGGACAAGTTCCAAAACCGAACCTTTGGTCTCCTCTGAGGATCTGCAGTGAGGAATGGGGAGAGGCAAGCACGGGATGCTGACCCTCGCTTTCGCCCTTCCCAGCTCCCCAGTGCTAAAAGCAGAAAGGCCAGTTGTGGGGACCAATTGCAACCAAGCCCTGTGGGCTTGTGCGCTTCTCACACACACTTTACAGGGATCTAACAGAATGTGCTCTCTGCATCTCCTAAATGAATTGGGGTAGCTCTGGTAACAAAAAAGGTTCCAGGTCTAGTCCTAAAGACGCTTCCCTGGGAGTAAATCCCACTGACCATACAGGAGCTTTACATGGATAGCGTGGCATTAAAAGCCATAAATCAATCTTGCTTGCCCTGCAAACTCCGTAGGTCCAGTCTGCAATTTGGGGGGGGGGGGCAGTAACGTTGACCCCACCCCACCTACCTGATAAGGTTCTTACTAGAAATTACAAGAAAAAAAAGGAAGCTGAGCATATTGAACATCCCAACACGCTATAGAAACCTGAAGTATTACTTTTCAAGTGGGCACAAAACCCTGATTCACAAGCTAGCCAACCCAGTTTAATGAACCCCTTTACCTTAGACTAAAACGAGCCTGTATATTAGTTTAAATTATAGCTGAACATGTTGTGTCAGCTCTAGAAGTTGTGGTTCAGTTCATCATGGTAGGAGACTTGGGCAAAAATGATATGCCTTAAAGTCATAGGATGCTGCCAGCCAGCCCTGCAGGACCAGAGATGTCCAAACTGAATCCAAGTCTGCATTTTTAAAAATTAATTTATTTATTATTAAATTTATATGCCGCCCATCTCCCCCAGAGGGTAACTGGGCGGCTTGCAATTAAAATCCGAAACAATAAAAATACAAATATCCACATTAAAATAACTATTGGGGAAAAGGGAATTAACCCTGGCAGAAATATATTCTGCTTCTACGTCACAGCATTTACATTGCATTTTGGAGAGAACTTTTGCAATCCTGACATACAAAAGTCATGTAAGATAGGTCAGTGCTGTTATCCCCAAAACGCAGGAAGAAAACAGATTAAGTGAGAACAACTTACCTAAGACCGCCAAGCCAGGTTTTTTTCTCTGTAATCAAAGAAAAGAGAGTGAACTGAAGACTTCTTGACTGTTAAGACCAGTGTTTCTCAACCTTGGCCACTTGAAGAGGGGTGGACTTCAACTCCCAGAATTCCCCAGGCAGCCAAGCCGGGGTGGGTTTTT